GAAAATAATGACTCTAAATTCAATACGACTCGAAATTACGCGTAGCACGAAATATACATACGCGCATATTCGCAGGAAGGTTGGACGATAAGATAGGAGCAGAAACTCACAGTTAGTTACCTCAATTTCCGTTTCGTTTAATTGTGGCAGAACGACACGGGCGTGGATAGGATGCGAAGGAATATATGCGATATGAAACGCAAATTATCACGAATGGATTTACCGGTGCGTGCTATATCCTATCGTATGATTAAGGATGACTGGAAATTACTTGACCATCGATTAATAGAATATCGAGCATAATATTTCGAGAATATAACGAGTCAAACGGCCCTCGCCCTCGACAAATCAATTTAACAATTTGAACGCGCAACGCGGTTTTCCAAAAAAATATAAGATAAAAAGAATCGTTGCTATAAATTTTTGACACAACGTGCACATACGCTTGTTTGAATCGCATCGATAATTCAATGCGCTCCGACACACGCGATCATCGTTTTGGACGAACCACTGCTGCTGCTAGTAGTCAAAGTCAGCGTACAAAGCTCCACGCAATGTTTACGGCAAACTGAGCAAACTAAGCAGCGCAAAGTAGCGGTTCGTTCCTCGACGGGGATCCTTCTGTCCCCAAGGAGGACAGTCAGTCAGTGGTACGAATCAACGCGTGTGACACAAAAACACGAAACAACGCGAAACATTTGATCCTCGTTTCGTATTCGTGTGTACGTTTCTGCAACAATAAGCCTTTTGGCACGGTTAAACGGGGGAGGAGGGGGGAGGGGGGGGAGATAAACAAACGTGCTCGTTCGTTCGCCGAATGAATATTCGAAAGAAGAAAATTGTTTCAGACACGGCAACAACCCAAGAGGAATTGAGCGAGAGAATTCGTGAAACCGATAGTGGCGCGGTCATTAAATCGAGAGGAGGGGGAGGAGGAGGAGGAGGAGGAGGAGACGACAAAAGCGTGGACACACAATGGTGTTGCAGAAATGGCAAGGTACAGAAAAGCCGCGATTCTTCACCTGGAAGCAAGGAAGAAGCGATAACAAACCTCTCTATTCGATAGTCGAGGGCAGAAGAGATTCTTGGAACTAGAATCTATCCACGAAATAGAAGATATCTGGAATCTGGTACTTTTCTACTCGAAAGATGGTTTGCGTATCGATCGTTTCGAAAGATCTTTAAGATTGGGGCGCGGGAAAGGGATTGTGTGAGGATTTAATGCTTTTAAACCGAGTTTGTTTGTTCCTGGAGGAATCTTTGACATTCGACCCGTATTGAAATCAAACGAGAAAAATCTCTGAATTCTAATGGGGAAAGACGAAAGAGTCTCTGGAGCGGGTGAAATTGAATTTTTTTTCTCGATTAAACCGGATTACGTATTTATTTTCATAATTGGATCGATAATGATTAAACATTTATAACGGGTTATTCGCACAACAGGCGGGTTCAGTAAACCAGCGATAGTAAAGTAATAAATGTTTCGCAAATGTTGATTAATGTAAAATTTCACAATGGACTAATCAATGGGTTACGGAATAATTGGGAATGAGTTCATTTAGTTTTCGATCATCGGGAGTGGCTCGTCACAAGCTATGCTTTTCCCCTCGTGGCAGCAAATTGGATCTGCTGCTTTCAAACCTGTGAATTTCCAGCTGGTCGCTTCGCACACTTTCGCGTATACGGCGACCTGAAAAATATTTCGCATTTTTCCTTTTTTTAAATTAATCTTTCGAGGATGTTTATAAAGTATCGTTTTATCAATCGGTTTTTTAGAAACTTACCTGAAGATTCTCCACGTTGTTGTTTAGCTTTTTGCAAATCATTTGCGGTGCCTGGTCCCTAGCGCTCTCGGCCTGCACAGAATTACACCTATCTTTCTGACGTTTGTCAGTCTACTATCGAAACATGCGGTGATTATTTACCGACCAAAGCAACGCACAATTGTTGACACTTCTCCTCCCCTTCGCTGTCGCACGTGACGTTATATGGAATGGCACGTTCAATGATTGATTTCGATATTTGCCTGGAAAATACCGCGCATTTGCAGCCTCCCTCTTCCACTGTATCTTGTCTGCAAAGATTCGAATTAACAAATTCAAAACCATTTTTAAATTCGTATTCGTGACAACGATAACGAGAAATTTTACAACTACGTCTAACTACAGGTATTATTCTCTCAAAACTCTCATCGTTCTTTTCTCCTTCTTTCTATTTTATCTACTTCTTCCCAATCTCGATCACTTTTCACGAAAGTTTCGTGATCTCTCGAACAACCAAAAAAAAAAAAAAAAAACTTTCGAATTCTTATTATAATTATTATTATTATCATTAAAAACCACCGAATATCTTTCGATCGACTTGGAATTTTCGCCCGCGCGACCACTTTTCTCGCGACAACTTTCGAGATGAGCGTGATAACGAACGATCGTAAGAACGAATGTGTCTCGTTACATTGTGAACGGCAAAACGGTGAACAACAGGACGAAAAGCAGGAAGCGATCCATCGCGGTCCGATGACGTTTCGTTGGAATCGAAATCGATACGAGGTTGGTCGGTCGAGGGCTGCGAAACAAACGAACAATCGGGTTGGATACTGTTCATTTATAGCGCGAAGAAATCCCTACCACCAATTACATGTTTGGTCACACGATGCAATTGTTCTCCTCGACGACAGCTTGTGAATGTCTCAGGTTTTTTTTTTATCGATAAGTTATGCGTCATGTTGTAACGCGAGAAAAAAACGAATCGAGTGTCGAGTGCACTTGTTCGCCGGCTTATGTGCGCCGTTCCTCGCCGAGTTTTAAATAATATTCGACCGACCGACCGATTTTTTTTTCCCTTCCATTCTAATTCTATGATCTAATCGGATGATTGACTGTTCCTCCGATAATATTTGAGTTTCCTTCTTTTTTTTTTTCGCGTTAGAAATTTTCTACGCGTCTCTCCCTTTTTCTTCCTTTTTTGCAAATTATACATCGCGTTAAAGATTTTCGTCCGCACTTTCAATGATTCGATGAAAATTGTTCCGCACAGAACGTGTTCCAACGTCTATCTATATCTCCGAAAGATAACTCGGATGAAAAGAAATTGGTTGTGGAAAGAAAAGAGCGGTTATAGGATTTGGGTAAAGGAAAAGCCACTTCGAATCTAATTGATTAGTTTTGCGACTTTTGGGACTGTTTTGAGAAAGTTAAAAACTTGGATCGACGAGTGAACGAAGAAACTTTACTCTGCAACCGACGAATTAATTCGCGAAGAAGCCTAAACTAAGCGTTCTCGAGGAACAATAATTTCGCGGCATTACACTGAGCGGGCGGGCGCAAATTTATTCACCATTTAAACGACAAATAATTATTTCTGATTTAAACGTCAATCCATCATGGGAGCCAATGGAAAGCTCATTTTCCTCGAGCAATTTCCTATCTGTAATTACTTTCCTTGCTCTTTTGCGCGACTGTAAGACGAGGAAGGTTTTCCAACTTATCAAGAGAAAATGAAGAAAGAAGGAAAGAATCGTTGCGAGAGGTTAGAATAGCGCGGGTTTTGGTTATTTCTCTTAAATTGATCGAGATTCGAACGAAAGTCCAGCGAAATTGTCACGATTAAAATAAAGTAGTAAACTCTTTTAGAACGAAAAAAAAAAAAAAATGTGAGAATTGTACGATTTTTAAAAATGAAAACTGTTGACCGTTTCTCGAAATTTTATCAATTGTATCTACTCAAACCGCTCTCAAGTTTGAAACCTTTCTCGAAACAACTTTTATTTTCATCAAATATCTCGTCTCTTTAATCTCGTTGTTTAACGAGGTTATTAAATAAAATCGGCTCACGCGCTAGCTCGATAACTATTAAACGGAGAGTATATTCTAATGGAATTAGAGCTGTTTAAATTTACAAAGACTCGAGAACAATCGATCGACAAAGAGAAAGTCCGCGGGCAGTATTATGCGATTGGAAGTGCATTTTAAAATAATAATAAAAAAAAAAACCATTCGATGGATTGAAACACAATTCTCATGGAAACTTATAGTAGAAATTTTTTTTTTGTTATTTTTCTTATTCTTCTTCCCGTATTTCATAGAGAATTCATCGTACGAATATCTGTCATTTTTTTTTTTAATCAATTATCAAATACATAATCGCTGTCATAATTTTTCGTCGTAATTTTTCTTCTATAAGGATAAAAATTTCACGCAACACGGAACACAAGAAATTTAATTTTTGTAATTGAAATGCAATTATCAATACGGAGAAATTAATAGTAAATTAAACATCCAATGCAAACGTTATTTTCTATTAAACAAATCAATAAAGGTAATTAAATTAACAATTAAATTGGACGTAATTCAGCATAATATAATATAACCTATCTCTTGAACCTTTTGAACGAATATTGTCAAAACAATTGTGGCAAAGTGGAACGTTTGAAACGGAGGGACACATCTGGCTGTCGCCAGATTCAGGAATTCAAAACCAAATTCCTGACTGACTAATCATTTTCCGGACAATTAACCGCGGCCTTGTCGAGAATGGAAGAACAACCGATGGCCGATACGAAAGAAAAAAAAAGAAAAAAAGAGTAGCTCGACGCTGACATAATCGTCTGAATCACCGATTAAGACCAATTACCCGTAGTGTTGGTTGCTCGAGCAGCGCGTGCCTATCCCTTTGCGAAATATTGCCCCATTTTCGTGAACCAGGCCCGTTCGTTTTATTACAGGCCATGTTGAGTTATTTCCTCGCGTGTCTTCCCTCGTCCTCCTCCCATTTTTTCGACGCGATGATCAGAAAAACTTGAGCGTTTACGACTTACCTCTTAGGGAGGAACAGGGAGAGGCCATTTATCACGAAGAGACAGCCGAGAGAAGAAAAGCTCCGATATATTTAAATTACAAAAATATCGAACGGTTGTAGGACAACGTGGAACGGGAGATATATCGTTATTGATTTATTCGTGGAAGAGGCAGTCGGAGGGGATCAAATAATGGATCGAGAAACCGATTCACTTGTTAACCTGTTCATTTTTTAATCGTTTCTCGCACGAAACGCGAATAATAATCTTCCATTCTCGAGAAGAAGAGAACAATACGAAAAGAATTTTCCAATTCGAATTTCCCCGTGTGTTATTTAATTTAATCGATCAATTTATTGCACAACGAGGGGATTGAAGGAAAGTAAGGCGTTCGTTCGAGTAACGAGTGAAAATCACTCTCAGGAATCTAGAAAAATTATTTATCCGGCCGCGGTTAGATCGGTGGACGTTGATAAATAGATAGTTGCGCGAAACGGTTCCGCCCGAGTAAAAAGGTGGAGGAACGATTAAGCAATTAAGCATTCGTAGGACGAAACGAAATTGTTTCTCTCGACAACTCGAAAGAATAGAACCATATTTCTGGTTCCCTTGTTCTTTCCCTCCTCCTCCTTAGAAGAAATAAAAAGTACAATGGGAGCTATATTATTCGCGATATTATACTGGAAAGAAACGAAAATAATCTTTTTCACCGTATTACACATAACACTATCTCTAATCCTTGCAAGCCTTCGTTCAAAGCAGATTCGTGCACGATTTAAGCCGATTAATCCGAAATCTGGACGGTAGCAGGTATGGCAATACTTGGAGGTGGCTCCTCTCTAAGAATGAGTTATTACAAACCGACATCTAATTATCGGGAATTATTTGGCCGGGCCTCGGATATTCGAGTAATTTTCAAAAGCTTTTCGACAGAGTCTCCCGGTTCGTTAGCGGGAGCACAATTGGCCCTCTCGGTATTCGTAGAATGTGCACAATCCATCCGGTAATCCGGTTAGATGTAATTAACCGATGCAACTCGTGCACCCGAATGCGGCCGCCAGAGTTGGTCACCCTGTATAATATCTTACGAAAACATAGAAACTAATTTAATTAATATCCGCTGCACGCGCGTGCACACGGCTGCCGTTAATTAATTACGCCGTTTAATAAGGCAGGATTAATCGTGTTACATGATACACACGTCATACACCTACCTCGAAACGAATTTCCGCCTCTGACGCACGAAATTTCGACCGCGAATCGGCGTCCATTTTTCTGGATAAAACTCGCCGCCGATGTGTGTGTGTGTGTGTGTGGGAGGTTTGGAAAAAAAGGGGTTTGACCTAGTGGAAAACACGATTGGCGACGAAAGGGAGAAAATTTCTCTGGAGGGGGAGGCGAAAATGGTGGGAACGATGCTCGCTCGAGGGTTGGAACCGAAGGGACGAAAAACATCGGCAGAAGTGGCATCAACAGGTTCCAGAGGAGGGGAAGTTTCGTGAAGCGCACGGCAATTGTGGCCGAGGTTCGCGTGAAATGTTCTGCAACTCTCCCGAGGCGTTTGCCGATTGGTTGTTTCGCCGAGTTGATTCCCTTCTCGCGTTGATGCCTCGATCCCACCCATCCCCTCCCGATTTTAATTAATCCACCGATGACGTTCAATCAGGGAGAACAACGCATCACAACAAGTAGGGAGAACAAGTTGGATTGGAATTGTGTCGGGGATAATTTGGATAAGAAGAACGAGTCTAGCTTTTTTTTTTCCGTGTCAAATGCGATTTTTAACCTTGCTTGCTTTCCCGTCCCGCTTTATGATCCCCATGTTTTCGAAATAAACCCTCACCCAAGTTAATTTCATGGAAAAAGACGGAAAGGGATGGAAATTGTTCAAATGAAGGAATACGAAAATCCTTTTGTTAGATTAAATAAATGTGATCGTAAGGATATAATATAAATAATACAATTGGCGGGCGTGATCGATAAGGAAAAAGAATTACTGGGATAGAAGTTCGTTAAAAAGTGGTTTATTGGAAGAGACAGTAATCGTAAAATGGATCGATACGAAATTCGCGACAATCTTGGCTGTGACGAGCGGTAAAAACATCGCGTTTATTATTCATTACGGTTTTATTGTTCGATCAGTTATAACTTGGCAGACGAGGAATTAAAAAGTTCGTGCGCGGCCAGGAATAGGTGATTCGTTTTAACGACACCGTTAATTCTGACGGGGAGCGCGAAAGAAAATCAAGAGGGGATCCACGTCTTCGCGGAGATGCAACCGTTGCACGCGAGAAATTGTCAAGAGAAGATTAAGGATCAACTTTAATCATGCGCAAACCTTTACATTTCTCGTATTATTTGATTATTTCGTTTAAAGGAAATGAAATCGCGCAAAATCGATTTCAAAATCGAAAATGGTATTCGATTTTATTTTATCGAAAAAAAACTGGTGGAACAAGATTTTTATCGTTATTAGATGTAAATCAAAAACCGATATAAATATTCTATCTTTTACTATTAGATAGAAATTTCGACGAAAACGGTCTATTTAGTCAAATCCAGTTTCATGTGGGTTCCCTCAAGATCCTTTGATTACTTTGAGATTGAATAAGAGTGAATAGTTACCGAGTAGGGTCCACTTCTAGCTAACTTGTATCATTCCTTGTATTGGATCTTTGACTCTAAGGTTAATGATACGTTCATTCCGTTGATAGATTGAACGTGATATCGAATTCGGTGTTAAATTTTAAAATATAATTAAATAATATAATTAAAAATTTCGATATCCCATTTGCAACGTTAATTGTTATGGAAAAAATGATAAAGAGTAAGTGAAATGAATGAAATTGCGATAAATGGCACATGAAAATATTTGAATGAAAATAATCGATCGAGTAAATATATATATATATATATATATATATAAGTAAATGTACTGTCGTCGAA